ATTTAATTTTCAACCATTTTAAGGTTCATCAATTTTATAGTAAAATCAAGACCAGAATCGCTAATTAAAATTTTAAAATCCTAATATTTTAAAATCAAAATCCCATTTTGAACTTCCTTCGTTATGACTTCACCCGACCTTGCCTTGGAATGGTTCTGTTCCAGCAAGTGTGGCCTCAACGGGTCTTTTTTGGTGCCCACAAATTCTCTCCCCACTTCTCTCTCTAATATTTTTTCTCTCACTTCTTACTAGCTTTTGAAATTTCCAGGCCTTTATGGGGCTGCTGCCGCGCTCCTCCAGCGATCGCGGCAGTCCTCCACCCTTGTTTTTTTCTCCACTTCATTCTCGGCATCCTTTTCCTTTCTTTCATGGTTCCTTGTACTGTTTTCCCTTTGCTACCATTGTTTGGCCTCTTCCTTCTCTATGTGATGTTCTTTCCTCCCCCTTGTTCGGTTGAGTGTTTGGCCTCTGGTCTGGTCTTTCAGATATGGAGATGTTGCCTCTCCTAAGATGCAAAGGAGACTATATTTGTGCTTTTCTGGCTTGTCTTTTTTTTTCTTCCTCCCTTCGTCTACCTCCTTGCTTCACCTTGCAGATCTTGGTGTTTCGGAGATGTGGCCATGTGGCTTGGACTCAGAGTGAAAATTACGAAGACAGAAGGTCACTTTCTTGGTTCGTCATCGACCGTCCGGTCTCCCAGTTTTTTTCTTGCGTTGGTTCTTGACATGGGGGAGCTGTCGGAGGTTGGTCTGGTAAGGAGCTGTTGGAGGCATCGCGGGATGCTGATGCTATCCTCGACCCGGGTTGGTGGACTCAAGCTTTCCATCTTGGTGGTCGTTTGTTCACTATCCCATGACTTCCGGTTGGTGGAGGATGGTCTACTGCGGTTACCATCGGCAGTGAGGAACTAGGAGCAAGCATGTAGCAGCTAGGGCTTTAGATTTGGATTTCGGGTCAGGTCTGTGTCTGAACCTTATTGGTTCTTCAGATTGGTTGTGTGGGCTTGGGCTTGGGGTATGATTTCTCTTATCTTGTTGCTTGTTGTTTGTTTGTGTCCTTTTCATTTGGCTTGACCCATTTGCATTCTTAATGAATCATTAAAAAAAAAACAATTATCTTGTTGCAGCTTGTGACAAGACAGCTCTCGCCGCTCCATTGTTAATCTCCGTCTGAGGCCCAACGGTTGCGTTTTGGTTCAGGCAAGTCGTTCTTTATATCAATTTATTTTGAATATTTAACTCAATTAACTTCTTTTGGTGAGTTACGTTATATGTGAGTTAATATGATTTATGGTAAGCTCAAAACTTTTATAATTAATTTAATGTACTTTCGTAATTTTATTTTGGTTTATTTATTTCATTATTTCATTAATTATTTAGCTAAACTTCCTCCATTGCATGGCCTTACATGTAAGGTAAGTAAATCAAACATACTTTTTCGTCTTCATTATTTATTTATATCACATTAATGCAATTTATTTTTTTCTTTATTCAGTTTAAATTTTTATTCACCGTTTAACATTTATTTTAGATTTTTTTTTGAAAGATGTGTTAAAATGACTAGGTTAGGCCCACAAAGAAAATGTATAAGTGAAACTAATTAGTAGGAAGAAAAAAAAACTTATACAACACGACCCACAGAAAAACTCGGAAAACTCAACAGTGTCTAGGCCCCGAGCCAAAACATGAATGAGACCCTCCAAACCCTAACTGCTAGCACCCCCTGTGCCCTGCTCCAACTGTCGCGGTCGATGTCCACCACCGCACCCGACTCCACACCACCACCCACCAAGAAAGCGTTGCCGCAAATCAAGCACAAGATCGGAACCCATCAAACCAAGAAACGCGAGGTGAGGAGGAAACCCCCTCAGACCATCCCATCCCGATCCGATCGCGGAAAGCCTCCCGCCGACCACCCCCTAAGGAAAATAAAGGAAGCAACTAGATGACCATCGAAGGAGGCAGAGAGTTTCATACATTTCTTTAAGATTTGATGTATTGAAGCTTTCAGTTTTTAAGATGGGGAACTTAATGGGCTTTCTATTAATCCTTGGTTTTAATTATTGATTACTACCCTATGTAAGTTTTGTAATATTATTGAAGGGCCAATTTATTGTTATTTATTCTAATTTATAATTTATAATATAATTATAATAAACTAGCTAATACATGTCTATCAATCGGGGGAGGAATGGTTTGAGAAATTAGAATTGAGATATGTTGTCCGGAATCTTCAAATATTCCAAATCTCCGTCGTGCGACTATTTCATATAGCAGCTCACCAGATGGCTCATTCATTTTCTAATGTTTTGTTTTGTGGTAATGCGGAGGTGATCTTTCAGATGGTTAACGCGAGAGATTTATCGCATGCGATAGGAAGTATTGGCCAGGTACAAGGCCTTAAGTGGCCAGAAGGTCATCTTGAAAAATCGGTTGCCTGTTTTAGCAAAAATGTCCTTCAATTAGAAGGTGCTTATCTTGGTAGCCTCCTTGGGGTTGATGCCATTAGGGTCACAAACAAATAATTGGGGTTACTTTCTCTGGCTGGACTATCCGAGCTAGATTTTTTTTTATTTGTATAGGAAAGGTTAATTAATGGCTACAATTATGGAAGCGTTGTCTCCCTTAACTAGCGAAAGAGATATTGTTTAAGGTTGTTACCGATGCTTTTCTCATTCTTGTTATGTCTTGCTATTGTTTGCCAACTACTTTGCATAAGATTTGAATAGGCATTTGGTGCATTTTTTATGGGGGCAAAGCACGGTGAGCACCAAATTCATTGGGCTAAGCTCATGTTAGGCTGATATTTCCCTGATTCTTTCTTTTTGGCAGTGAGATCTAATGTAGTAAATCTAGTTATAAATCCTACGATGTCTTAGGTTTGTATTCTAGGAGGTCTTTTGATAGTAACTACTCAAACCTAACATAATGTATTCAAATGATGATGAAAAGAAAAGTAAAACTAGGGGGTTGAGGTGCCCTAATTCGAGATCCTAGACAACTATGCAAGAAAAGAACAAACATTGAAAGCAATAAAGGTAATGTTTACGTAGTATTTTCTTGGTGATCATGCATTCATATTCCTAAACAATATGCATCTATGCACAATCTATTATGGTGTCGTATCCCTTCCTCTTAGGTCAATCTCTATCTGTGCATGCGCCTCTTGCTATAGAGCTCTGACAAGCTAATGTGTGCTTCCGCTTCATGCCATTACCTAATCAATGAAGAATAGGGAAGTTAGGATAGCAAATGAGTAAGTGTGGGTCTCTACGAGCCATAATCGATGGTCTATAGCATTGATGATCTAACAATCACACATCAATGCTACATAATGCATGGATGGGTAGCTACTCCTCCCATACACGTGTAGAACCAATGAGATATCACAAAAGGGTAATTTCTTAACAATCTATCATATCAAACATGATGATATAGTGGCACACAATAGGTATTACACGCACATAAGGTTAAAACATTAGATGATATAGAGCATCAATGATATAATCAATGGGTGAATAAAGCATCGCAAATACATTAACACATCTAAAGAAACAAGAATAAATGACCATAGCATTGAATGAAATAAGCATCTTATTAACCCATAGAAGAACACATGAAAATAATAGAATTCACATCCCTAAACAGATCGAGCTAGCAATACATGAGAGAATAGGAAGACATCACCAATGATGAAGAACATCGATGGTGCATCATCCCAGTCAAGCTCCAGCAGGGCTTTGCCTCCTCTCTATGGATCTCTAACACGTGCCCATATGGCAGAATGCTGGTAAAAGGTGTTGTACAAAATCTCTAGCCTAGCCTCCTATATATACTAGTTAAAGAATGGGGGTTTTCTAGTCTTTTTCCTCCTAAAGTCGACTAAAACCTTTATTTTCCTACTTGAATTCGGTTTCCTTCACCTTATAGACAAAGTAACTTGTGGAGGAAGTCTTCTAAAAGCTAAAGCATGAGCGGTGGTCCCACGGCAGTTGGACCTGCCGCTATTGTTTCATCTCCAAACTGGCCCATCTTTTGTGGTAACTTGCTCATGGGCCCTCTTCTGAAATTTCAGTTGTTTGGACTTTGTTTGATCCATCTTCTCTTCAAGATACCATCATCTGGTGTCAAAATCCATCTCCGTTTGAGCCCATGAGCTTATTATTCTCGACCTCCTTCTGATTCATTGGGCACTTTAGTGATCCATATTCGTTTTGAGTGCATTATATCCTTGGAAAGCACAAACACAATACCAAAAAGGTATCAAATAGTACAGAAACACACTCAAATGCCTATTATAAGATCATTACCCAATTAGTTATGACTTCCATATGAAATGTTATCAAAACCACTAAAGATGAAATGATAGAAGGGAAAATGTATCAGATATGAGAGTGATAAACATTAGTACTTTGCTACGGTGACATGCAAAGTACTTTTAGGTGACCTCATATAGGATTAGGTCGATCTAATCTGTCGTTTCAGTCTTGTGCTAGAAGGCAGCTTACTTCGTAAAAACTTCGAGCCTTTTGTTTGAAGCCTTCCAGATATCCAATATTTCATCCAATGCCTTGAATTTGTAGACAAACATACCTACGTTCATGTGGCAGAGGCCCTTGGACTCGAATCTCATCCATGCTTCTCGAATTGAGCTCCACAGTAGGCTTCACAAACACTTTCCCAGACTTAGCCATTTTCATACAGTTTTCCAGTCTTGGCATAACCTTTTGATCAGGTTCACAAATGGTCTCATGAACTTCCTATCGAGCTCCCAAGCACTTCAATGTGTAGAGGGATACTCCAGCTTCAAAACAAGCCATTAATGAGTCCGGATCTGGTGACTAAGGGGGGGGTCCTTAGTCACTTGACTAAGGCCCCCTCAGCCCTTGGATTGATCTAATGGTCCAGATAAACCAATTAATTAATATTAAATGAGAAGGGTAGTTTTGGCATTATCAATATATTATTAACTCCTATTTTCCAGTTTTATTTTATTAATTATTATTGATTTTTCTCCCTTCTGCAACCGTCTCCTCCTCTTCCCTTTTCTGCTGCGATGTCCAAAGAGAGAGAAAGCCATGGAAACCGTCGCCGGAAAAGCTCCCCCGTCGGCGAAACAGAGCACCGGAGCAAAACCCTGAAAACCTCGGAGTTCCCGCCCCTCGCGGCGGCGTAGAACATGTCCGTGACGCCGTACTCTCCCTCGCCGAACACTAGAAACGGTTCTCTGTCCAGCAATTCGTCGACGAATTTCAAATCGCCGGCGGAGGCGGCCGTGTAGAGCAGCCACCCGCCGTACCGAGCTCTTACAAGGGTGTTGTAGCCAGGGCTCTTCCCTTTTCTGCTGCGATGTCCAGAGAGAGAGAAAGCCATGGCGGAGAGAGAGGCGGATGGTGAGGAGAGAGAGGCGGATGGTGAGGAGAGAGAAAGTAGATCTACTCGTCGGAAAACAGAGGAGAGAGAGAGACGATGGTGAGGAGAGAGAGGCGGCGGAGAGAGCTTCGACGACGATGGAGGAGATAGAAGCGGCGCGGTGACGGAGAGAGAGAGGTAACGACGGCTGTAGAGAGAGTCGACGGCGACGGCAGCGGCGGCGGCGTGGAGAGACATCATATCGTCATCTGAAGGAAGAACAGTGATTTGTATAGTTTGTATGTTTTGTAACATTAGTTTGTATTGTTAGTATTTTTGTACAAAATGTCTGTATGGTTTGTATGTTTTTCTTTGACAGTTTGTACTCTTAGTATGTTTTTCTTTGACAGTTTGTACTCTTAGTATGTTTTTCTTTGACAGTTTGTATTCTTAGTATGTTTTTCTTTGACAGTTTGTATTCTTAGTATGTTTTGCTTGTATTCTTAGTATGTTTCGCTTTGTATTGTAAGTACTAATAATTTGTATACTTTATATGTATTGATTTGTGATGCAAAAAACATTACAAACATGGTTGACAAAAATGTGGACAAAAATAACAAACATTACAAACAATACAAAAGAAACCAACAAACATTACAAACATTACAAAATAACAAACATTACAAACATTGCAAACAAACATTACAAACATTACAAACAAACATGTTAAACAGTACAAAGCATACTACACGTACAGAATATCACTACTTACAATACAGATTGGTAAACTTGTATTACAAGCAAATGAATACAAAGTCTACAAATCATAACATAAAAGTATACAAACTTGAATAACAAAAGTTACAAATACAAATCAATGAATAGAAAGTGTATAAATCATAACATAAAGTATACAAACTAGACAAACAAACATTACTAACATTACAAACATTACAATGTATACAAAATAGTAATATAAACATTACAAACATCACGAACTCAAATACTGTTGTCGGAAAACCATCCACCACCGTCTCTGGTCGCCGGAAAATTGCTCCGCCGTCGCCGGAAAAGCTATCTCTCTCTCTCTCTCTCTCTCTCTCTCTCTCTCTCTCTCTCTCTCTCTCTCTCTCGGAATTCCACTGGAATAATGATAATGGCCGATGGAGAGAGAGTCTGGGGCAATTGCCCTGCAATAATGGCGGATGGAGAAGAATTCTCCTGCCCAGAAATATTTTTGCCCGAAAATTGGACGGAGGCGGCGCAAGGGACGGGGCCGGAAATTGGACGGAGAAAGGAGGCGGCGCGGAGCTGGGCGCGGAGCTGATTTTTTTTATATTCATTTTATAATTAAAAATAAATATTAAACATGCAATTACTATATTGTCCTTCTTTAAAATGAATTAATTGTAGCCTTAGGATTTTAATGAGCATGGAAGGCTCAGATCGACTTAGCCAAGTGACTAAGGGTACCCCCCTTAGTCACCTGATCTTACCCCGCCATTAATCTCCGATTTCAATCAAGCCAATTGTACGATATGAATCTCCAAACTAGGCACCATGAAACTGTTTTTACACTGAAACAACATATTAGGTCGACCTAATCCTAACTGAGGTCGACCGAAAGTGCAAGTTACGGTGACATGCATGTCACCATAGGCGCACCCTAAACATTATACATAAAGTGTCATAAAAAAACTTTGCTTGCCCCCAAGCAAACACTACTCAAAATCATACAACTCAATAATACTAAGGTACCATCACTCAATCTCGATCTTAGGTAATGAATACTAAGGTATCTTGATACGAGACTAGGGGAGCAATGCCCGGGTGATTCTTTCTTAATCCAATTCACCAAAGTTTAATTGCTTGCTTGTTTAATTTGTTTAGTAACCGTAAGTAGATCGCTAGATAGTGTGTGAACAATTAAAGTAAGGGTAGATAGACCGCCCGGGTTGATATTGAAATACTTATCCTATCCTACACCCGTCTATAGGTTGCACTTGGCCTATAGTTGGGATTGTGTGTGGTGGTAGCCGAATCACTTTGTACCCGTCAATGTATGTTTGTTTATATTTATGTTCGTGGGGTACTTGATAACACCTAAAATAGGCGTTATTTAGCCCTTATTCTCAAGGCATTTGCATGCTAATTCACCGTGTCTAGACCACATATCAAGTTATTTATGTCCATGTTCCTATTTGTAAAACATGTATTTTGGCATAGGTATTCATGATACGAAGATTTTCATAAGGGAACCGACCCCAAGTTGTGGTATTTTATGCTTTTCCAAGTGTTTGTGATGAAATTCCAGGTCTTATATTCATTTGGGATTGATCGTAAATCGATTGAAGTTCATCCGAGCACGATTGGGAAGCATAGGAGCAAGAAGGGGAAAAAGGGCACTAGTCACGGCCATAGGTCACTGCCCTTGACAGGCCATGACGATGATCGTGGCCGTGATCAGTGGACACGATCTCCAGCAGGCGACCAAGAAGAAGGCAGAGAGTTTCCTCACCCAGATCGCGGTCATGATGCATTTTGGCCGCGATCTCTAAACTTAATTCAGGATGACGACAGTACACCGAACCAGAATGAAATAGTCGTCAGAACTGTCTGAGGCTCAAGCATTTCTCTGGGGTTTGAAGCTGGTTCGAGCTAATGCTTTCCACCCGATGTTGATAGAGTCGGACTGCCAAACCTTGATTTAGAAGATTAATCGCCCAGGTACAACGAATTTGGAGGTAGAAGGAATTTGCGAGGAGATTCGATGAAGGGCTGCAGAAGAAGGGGGAATCGCTTGGCGGTTATGAAGAAGAGGTGGACATGAGGCTCCACACTATATGGCTCGGGTTAACTGCATATGGGAGGAAACCGAGTGTTGGATTGAAAGGGCTCCAATTTTTCTTGTCACTCAAGTTTTGGTTGATGCCGATATAGCCCCAAACAATTGATTTATCTGAATACAGGTGAGTTTAAAAAAAAAATAGATTCAACTTTAGAAAAAAAGAACCACTTAATGATTCCATATGTGACTAAAATAAATAAAATAAAAAAGAGAAATGAACAAAATATGTGTCATCTTGAAAATAATTGGAAAATATAAGAAAAGAAGTAAAAGTAATAAAGAAAAAGGAAAACGATGCAATATATTTGATTTGTTGGATGAATGTTCTTAAAGTTTACAATAGTTACGGAAAATTCACTTAATGAATAGTAAATTTAAAGCCAAAACTTTTATATATAAAAAAATATAATGATATTTCAAATGAAATGACACAAAAGTTCAGTTGTAAAATGCTATTAGTCTTTTCATTTTTTTTAATAAGGGTGATATAGGTTACTCTTTTGTCATTAGGTACTACTGAAGAGACTCGAACCTGGGACCTCCAGGTTCATAGCTAGTGGTATTACCACTAGACCAATCCCTTTTCATTTAAGTATGATATTTATACATTTTTGTGTTATAAAAGTAGCAGGTTACAAATGAAATGGAAAATCCATCATCATCAATGGAAGAGAGGAAACATGAAGTTACAAGATAATTAAATCACAAGCTACAATAACAAATTCAATATTCCAATCGTTCATTTCAAGTAAGTCCATTCTTTTCTGGTATTCTTTCATTTGATAATTTCCAACAACTTAAAGAAAATAAATTTGAACATAGATTCAACTAATTAGAATCATCGGTAGGTTCAGTGGTGAGCCCAAAGCCAAATGGAAAAAGAGGGTCATAATGTTCATCCCCCACATTCATAGGCAACTGATCCACACTCCTAAACCAAGTCCTGGAAAGCTTCCCACTGAACCCATAGTTACCAAACAACACATCAGCAACACCTTGGCCTTCAGTTCCAGGCAGCCAGGCCGCAACCAAACCATCGATCCACTTCAAATACGGCTCGATTACCACCGGCCGACCCGAGACAACCACCACCACGCACTTCACAGCTCTGCACACATTCTTGATCATGGTCGGACCCGGTTCAGGAATCGTCAGGTTCATATTGTTCCCTTCTGTCTCTGCATAAGGAAGCTCCCCAACCACGACAATGGCATAGGAGAAGCCCTCTGACTGGAGATATTTTGTGTCAGGATTTTCCTGATACACAACCTGACTGCTCTGTTTATCCACCGTGTTCATTATGGCATCCATGATTGTCGTCCCGACGGTAGCATTGTTGCCGCTTTGACCTTGCCACTGTATCGTCCATCCACCACACTGGTAGCCCAAATTGTCCGCGTGAGCCCCGGCCACGAGTATCTTCGATCCTTTCTTTGGAAGAGGCAGCATTGAGTTGGTGTTTTTCAGTAATACGAGTGATTTCCTGACGGCTTCTCTGGCTAATTCCCTGTGCTCGTGGCTTCCCAAGTGATTGACGAGGGTTTCGTCCGCTAAAGGATTTTCGAACAAACCCATTGTGAATTTGACTCGAAGAACTCTCCTGACTGCATCGTCGATCCTGGACATGGGTATTTCGTGGTTCGTAACCAGCTGGTTTAAGTCGTCGATGAACTCTTTGTACTTCATCGGAACCATGATCTGCAAAAACAGAGGATTCATATCAAAACCTTATCGTTGATTAAGTCCAAATCGTAACAATTCGAAAGCATCAGAAATGTGTAATGTATTAATGATTGGGTATCGAATTACCATGTCGATTCCAGCATTGATTCCTCTAAGGATAGAGTTCGAGTAGTTGGCATGACGAGGAGAGGTCATCCTGTCAAGTCCCTCCCAGTCAGTAATCACAAATCCCTGGACTCAGAAACCATTTCAACACACATCAATTAGCCACAATCTCTTGCAAGGTCCTTTAGCACAAAATTTACTCGATTCTGGTTTTCGGGGGTTAATATTACCCTGAAACGAAGAGTGCCCTTGAGAAACCCAGTGATGAGGTCACGGTTGCCATGCATCTTATCGCCATTCCAGCTCGAGTAAGACACCATGACAGTTGAAACCCCCTTGATAATGGAGGCAGAGTAGCCAGGCATGTGGATGCTGAGCAATCCGTGCCTGCTTAGGATTGTGTTGTTCTCGTTGATCCCATTCACAGTTCCACCATCTCCCACGTAGTGCTTTGCGCAAGCTGCGACTTTCGTCTTGCCGCCAACATATGGGACACCTTTGGGAGAAGTGGAAGGGATGTCTCCTTGTAACCCTGTGACTATCTCTGTCATTGAGCTCACCACCTCTGGATCTTCACTGTAGCTCTCGTAGCATCTCCCCCATCTCGGGTCTCTGCATACCTGCGATTCATTTCAAACACGCCAGCTCGATCAGTTTGTTGGTAAATAGATTTTTGAAATCATTATGACGATTTGTCCTGTACGTCTAACAATTCTGTTTTTTTTTACACTATATTAATGTCAATTTGTACCGCAGTGTGTTATACGATGTCAATTTGGGTATGTGTCTGTATTCTTGCTCTCGTTTATTTGTCAAGTTAAATAAATCCCATCGTTCGTAGAAAGAAATCGTTTTTACTTACTGCTACACAAGGAGCAAAAAGATATGGAATGCCTGTAGCTCTGGCTTCAAGTGCTGTTGCTGCTCCAATTCTCTTGACCAGCTCAGGATCCCTGTCAAAGTTATAAGGAAAAGTTAGACCAATATTTCACAGAATAAGACTAAAGAAGTAACATGTACGTACAGATTAATGTCATCTAATCGTTGTTTTTTGTGTTTTTTATTCGTCAGAGATCAACGCGTAACTGATCGAAACACATCAATCCAGTACATACCCGCACCGTTTCGACGTTCTATCAAAATTCTGAAAATTGACTAGTGCTGACTTGCCTTGTAGCTCCGAGGCCGATATTGTGAGGGAAAATGGTGGCGTTGTAAACAGTGCTGTGGCCATGAACAGAATCAATCCCATAAATCATCGGAATCCCTAGCCGAGTGGAGAGAGCATCTCTCTGGAACTGGTTCACCATTTTAATCCATTCCTGAGCTGAAGCATTCACCCCGGGGCTGCTCCCTCCTCCACTCAACACGCTCCCTATACACGGTGACAGTTTATCAGGTAAATTCCGGCGCAGTAAAAACTGCGAAGTTAACCCGGTAAATGTCACATGGCTTGCCACCTGACTAAAATTCAATCAAAACAATGAGAATACCGATGAAGTAATTCTTCATGACTTGAGGCGAGGCAACAGTGCGCTCAATCTGAACCATCTGGCCGATCTTCTCCTGCAGCGTCATCCTGTTCATTAGATCCGTTATCCGGGCATTCGTGGGCTGCTTCGGATCTCTGTACTTGATGTAATCTGCCGCGGCTAAGGCCGGCCAGAGAATAACTAGGCCGGCCAAGAAGAACAAGTAGCTTCTCCTCGCCATTGAGCCACTCGTAACTCTGAAGAAATGGCTAATTAAACAATTTGCAGAAAGGAACATGAAAAGGGTAAGAGAGGGACAGAGAAGGAAGAAACAGAGCAATGAATCTCTGTTTTCTATCTGTTGGCAATTTATAGGGTCTCCAACCCATCTCCCTGCCCCTTCCTGAAAAGAGCATTTTGGTTTTGCATGAGTATTATTTAATGCAAGTATCATTGAAATTGTTCATGAAAATGTGAGAGAAGAGTTTATGACAAATGATATTTCCTAGTAGATAAATATGGCTCATGAAACTTAATCATTCCTCACTTAATGAAATTAAGGTTTTGTTATTAAGGACACTGTTATGATTATGTGTGGCTTCGTCACTATAGTGGTAATTACCAAGTTCACTTGAAGACGATCTCAGATTTTACATTCGAGTATCATGATCTCTCACCTAAACTCTTCTAAACACAACAGAAGAGTATAGTTGTATGCGATAACTTGATAACAGTAAAAAAAAAAAAATGTCGTGGATCGATGTTGAAATTCCATTAATATATTTTGTGTAGTAATGTTATATAAATGATCGACCTTTTCACGATAACAGTTAAATTAAACTAATGAAACTTCGGCCTTCATTGGAAGCCATTAACGAGACCATAGCTTTAGTTATTTAGGGGTATGCTTGAAGAGAGGAAAGCGATAGTAAGTTAAACAATTGATGACAAAAATTTGACCAAGTCTGTCGATTGTTTTGAGTTGGGTTTGGGCTGTATAGCCAAATGGGGATTACACTCTTTTTTTTTTTTTTTTTTTCTTTCTGATTTCAAGCTTCGCGCCATCTGGTTTTGTATTGGCAGCTTTGTCTAGGAACTCCAGAACACAACAATTCCCATCAACGCACAGGGTCAACGGGAGATGTTCACAACATCGTTATTTGGATGCAGCGTTTGTCTTCATCTTAGGAGGGCTACAGAGTTTGTGATTCTCTAATGTGCCGCTTCAAAGGTTCACAAATCCGTAAAGACAGACATGCATGGAAGGGAAGGAAGGAACTCTTTCACCAGCAAGAATGGAAAGTGACATCTGCTATGGACTTTTTCCTTCTATTCCCGCGTTTGGACTTTCTATCTTTCACTAAATTCTAGAGGTGTCCATCGTGTTGGTTGGTTCAGGTTGGTTTTATTCGGGTTATAGGTTAGTCCAATTTAGAGTTTGTTCGATTAATGGTCATTTGAGTTACGGGAAATCGCTGATAATTGGAGATACGAGTTTAGCGAGTAACGGTTAATCGGATTGCGAGATACCGGTTGCGGGTCATTCGGGCCAATGGCACTTCGGGTCAATCCATTAGGTTGCTTTATTTTTGCCAAATCAAATATGTTAACTTGTATTTCATCCCACCACCATGTTCCATTGTTCTACCACTAACCACTTTAATCTCACCGGCCAACAACACCTCATTAACACAAGTTTACCCTAAGCCATGTTAATATCACTAATTGAAGGCTACATCTTCCGAAGTGATACCCCTCCCACGATTAAGCAGATTAAAGGTCAATTGGGTTGTAAGTTCATTGAGTTACGGGTTAATCGAATTGTAAGTTCATTGAGTCACGGATCAATTGGACTGTGAGTTAATAGAATTAAACATCAAGCAGGTTATGGGTAGGATGGCTTGCAGGTCATTGCTGTTAGCAAATTCGGATTGATCGGACTGGTTAATTAAGTCGGGTTCTGCTTTGATATATCGACTAAATTCCAAGTTTTGCTGATGTTGGAGGATAAACCAACGGGCCAAATTCCCAAGATGGGGCCTTAAGGGTTCTACAAAGCCCATTGGGAAACCCCGCCAGTAGCCCATGAGTCGATCGACTTTATGGCCTACCCTGGGTCAAGAATACCACCATTCCGCCTTTTCTCGGCCTCATTTCTTAACTCAAAGTTCCAGTCTGAGATCTCAATAATCGCAATTACTGAAAGGAAAAAAACTATGGAATTCAATCCAACAACCATAATACTTGCACATTTGAACTACCTAAACCGCGTACAATTAACCAACAAACTCGACTGCTACTTCTACATAAGCCGATCAGACAACGACGGCAGCCTCCTGAAGAAATTCAGCGCCGGGGACGGCATCCGGTCCCGGAATATCGGATGCCGGAAGCAATAGAACCCAGAAGCCATCGCCACCATCTTCGTCGGCACCAGGTACAAAATCATCGCCACCACAAAGCACAGCCCGACAAATATCCCCGTAGCCCGCGGATCCCGCCACGTCACCAGGGCCTGAACCCTCTCCCCTTGCGCCGCCAGATCCCCCAGCACCGTCTGCACCCTCGCCCCCACCGCCCTCAGCTTGTCGTACCTCGCCCTCACCGTCTCCGGCGACCTCCCGCTCGGCATCCCGTCGAACTCCTCGTCCAGCTCCTCCCTGTCCACCGCCTCCGCCAGCGACAGCTTCGGATCGAAGTGCGGCAGCGCCGCCTTCGACGACCGGAGGAACCGATAGTTCCACGCGCCGATCGCGAAAACGTAGAACGCCAGCGTCGGGACGATCAGATCCGGGAACCACACCAGCAAAACCAGCAGCGCGTGCACCAGCACCGTCGCCGTCGGATTCTTCCACACGCGCGTGTCGTCTATCCACCGCACGATGTCGATCACGCCCGCGATCACGTTGATGATCCGGACCCAGTTGGCACGCACCTTCCGCATGCTGAACGCGTGAGTGTCAGCGTCGAGCATGTGCAGTACGACCTCGCGCCTCATCGGCGGCTCGGATCGCGACAGGTGTACGGCTATGATCTTCACCGCGGTGCTTCTCAACACCTCCTGCTGAACGACTCCCAGAGGCTTCACGTGGTGCATCAACGGTAACAAAGGCTGGGTGTACACGTGGAGGAAATCCAGCGTCGGTGCGGAGCGGATGAATCTCACGGCAACTTCGATCTCGCCCATTTTCTTCACCCCGTTGTTGGTCAACACAATCAACGGGTAGGAATTTCTGTAGACTTTACCCGTCTCGAGGCTCGATATGCGAATCCGTACCTTCCCCATTCGGAGATCGGGACGCGTGGCACTCTTCTCTCCCTCCGATTCACTCGCTCCTGAACTGTCAAAGATTCCCATGGTCAGCACAGTGGACGGATCAAACACTCGCCACGTGTACTGCTCGTTCCATCTCGGATCCAAGCTATCCGAAACGGTTCTCGTCCGGATCCACTTCGGCCCGTATTTGGCGACGCAGTACGCATCCGTACATCCCTTCCCGTCGATCGCTTTCATCGGCAGCAAGTTCCGGCATCCGATGATCCCGAGCTCCACCGTTCCGATCGGCGGCTTCCACAGTTGCCTCGCAGTCGGGCGGTAGTCGCTGCACACGTGCGCCGCCTCGTCCATCACGTGATACCCGCCGTCGAAGCATAGCCGCAGTTGTACTCTCCCTTTGTACCTCGCCTTCTCGCTGTTCGGATCTTCGAAATTGAACCACCGCGTCGCCACTTGCCGGTCGTCGACCCTCCTCTCGATGGCCGTGAGCGGGATTCTCAAGACGGCGATCGGCGATGGTCCCTTGTGCTGCTGCCGCGCTTCTAGTGTGAAGACCAGGTGGTCGGCGAATGGCTCGGCGGCGACGAAAAGTAAATCCTCGTTCCACGACGGCGTGCCGTTTCGTGTAAGTACGGATTTTGTCTTGTGAACTTGGAACCCAAGCTGAGCCCTCAAATAGAGCGACGCTTCTTTCAACGGCGCCGTTGAATGCAAAACGTCCTGCGCTTCCAGCACCGTGGCTCGGAGGTACCATAGCTTCGGAGAGAGGTAGACTTTGGCTCGGGAGTTCGTATTGCCAGCTGTGTCGGTTTTCCACGCGTCGGGGAACGACTCGTCAGCTTGAGTTCCCACCCACGTGGCGAGCATCAAGTCCCCGCTGTGGGCTCCACCGCCTTCCAGCCTGTACCACTGCGGGGCCAAAGGGCTGTCCGGCGGATCTCGTAGAGGAATTTCCGTCACGTCGAAGCAAATCCCGCCCAAGAATTTCCCACGCGCCGCCGCCGCCGCATCCTCAGACCCACCACCGGGAGGCGAGTCCCAAACCGAGATCTCCAAAATGGAGGAGGAATCAGGTGCGTCGCGGCCGAAAGCAAACGTCTGGTCCCACTCGAAGAAGGCAGTTTTCCTCGCGGGCTTGGATTCGATGCGGCTGGCGGAGACTGCAATCCCTACAATCGGGTTCCCGTTGGTGGGGAGGTACCGAGCCTTCACCACCCGAACGAACACGTAATGCATCTTCTCCACCAGATCGAATGAGGACCGTTCGATCGAAATGCTCTCCTGCGGCTCCAGCGTGCTGGTCGGAGACAACGGCCTCGCGATCGGATGAGGACCGTTGATTGTTCCCGCTGCTGCCACCTTCACTTGCGGTACGGATCCGGTTACCTCTGACGCCATCAAATGATCATCCCCCGGAGTCGGACCCCAATTCGGCGTTGGCGGTTCCATAACGATGTCTTCTTCCTCAGTTTCCGCTTCTTCTGGCGGCGGCGGAGGAGGGTCGGCGGCGGAATTGTCTGGATCCTCTGTTTTGATCGGAGCCGGAGCATTGTCTGGAGCAGGGGGATCTGGTGGCGGCTCTTCCCCCGGCTTCTCCTCAGATCCGGGTGGTTTTTGCTCAGCCGGTGTGGGTGGCGATTCTTCCTCTTTCTTGTCTTCTTCCTTCGCCGGCTCTGCTGCCGGATCCGCCGCCACTTGCGGCGGCAGGGGAGGAGGGGGAACATTGAGCACGTCGTCCTGGTAATAGATTCGCAATCCGATTTCGCCCTGAACCCAGCTGAAGAGCTGCTTCTTCTCGAGCGTGTAGTAGATGAGGGCCTCCTCGCCTTTCCTGACGAACTGGGTGCAGCTGAGGCGGATCCTGCCGAGGAAATTGCTGCGGCGAGTGGGGCCGTACGTCCGGTCGTGATAGACGTCGAGCTCGAGCATGTCGTCGAAGACGTTGGAGGGCTTGCCGACGTTGAAGTCGAGGGTCTCGTTCCATGTGGGATTGAGGTCGCGCGGGGCGGTCTGGGTGCGCTTCCGCTGGCCGTAGAAGTCGATGACGACGTAAGGGCTGGAAGTGCCCTGCCCGTCTTTCGGCAGGAGGTTGCGAGCGTCGACCACTTCGACTACTAGTTTCTGGTTCCACGCCATGGCAGGCAGTGGCTGGGGGGAATTACGGAGTAGTGAAGGACAGAGAAAGGGAGGGAAGTAGAAGTAGAAGAGATAGTAGGGGGAAGGAAGGAATCAAAGACTGGTGCTTAACTTGATGTGGAAGAACACTACTTTTGGAACTCCATCAGCGCCCACGCAAAATCTGAGAAGAGTTTGCTTTCCGAACTTTGATTTATCAGGACGACGCTTTACCTTTTTCTGCTTTTTGACGGTATTTTTATGTAGGGCTGCAAATGAGTTGAGCAGCGGCTCTTTTACTAATGAGCCGAGCTTGAGCTTAGCTCTTTATAGTTCGTTGAGCTCGCGACCTAGCTTGACTCGTTGGCTTGTTAAGCTCAACTCGTGAGCTGGCTCGTTTATAGCTCACGAGATAACTCAACTCTCAACATTGTGGCTAGAGAGCCAATTCAATATACCTAGTTATGAGCGAATCGATTTATATGAGTTTAATTTTGATAATTTATATAAATTTTAAATCATATATCTCGCCATATATGAAGTTTAACACGTAGATTATGTGAGCAAATATGTCTTATTTAATTTTAAAAATAAATTATGTATCGTAGATTGCTTCGATATTGTGAAATCACATAATTTTCAATAGTTAAAATCTATTAACTAAATAATTTGATACTACAAAGTAAAACATGAAATTAGTTAATATTGAACACTTAACTATAATTATCATTGTTTTCATCTTGACATTAATCACATGAATAATGTATGACATACAAAATGAATATATCAAATACGAGTCAATATTTTATTAAGCAAGCTAGCTCGAACTCAACTCGACTCGGCTCGTTAATAAATGAGCCGAGCTCAACTTGTTTATTAACACGCCGAACTCAAATTAGGATAAAACTCGAGACAACACTCCGAAATGTTATGTGCAGTTGCACTGCAGAACAAAGTACGGTTTTGATATAGCGCTCTCTATTATGGGGATCGAGCATGTATGTTAAAATAAACGACCTCGACCTAGATCTCACTTTTTGCAGTTAACTTTAGTCTTTTTTTGAGCTGTTGTGGGGGGTCAGATTTGAATTTTGGAAGGCTGATGGTGAAAGAAGCAGAGCATTACGCGTTTGCTTGATATGCTTTTTTGCCTTTCTCTTTATAGTTTATTATTCTGAGGAGTCAGGTGCTTTGGTTTGCTTTGTCTAGTAGATGGACATCATCCTGCCTATCTTTTGAGTCACACAGACACAGACCTTGAAATATTGAACGGCGGTGGTTAAATTCTTGGTCGGCGATGACATTTGGGCGCCACCCTGTATCCTCCTTTGGCCCATCTCTTTTTGACAAAAAGAAAAGATGCATATGATGTTGATCAATATTCCACTTCCCCTTTCCCCCCAATTAGCTCGTATTAAAAATCTCTCTCGAACTGAGCAAAGAATAATGGGGAAAAGTGCATCGGACTGTGTGAGGGCGCGGCATGACTGTTTTCAGTCCAATGGTTGAACAGGGTTTATCGCCTAATGATGTCTTTGGATCAGACATATGTAGCGCTGTTAATGAGCCGAATCGAGTCGAGTTTTGCCATATTTCAGGTTCGGCTCGTTACTATATTTTGGGTTCGGTTCGTGTTCGTCACGAGCTTTAATATGCAAGCTCGAGCTCGACTCGTTTATGAAAAATGAAAACTCGAGTTCGACTCGAGCTCGGCTCGTCAAATAAGTTTAACGAGCCCAAAATCGAGTTCAGCTAATAAAATGTTCATGATAGCTCAAGATTGACCTAGAACTGAGCAGAAAATTACATTCAAACCTGTAACAAAGTCTATCAAAGTAAAACACGATATTTATCCCAATTTCAATACATAAAATCCATGATTCTAATCCTTTTTTTATGCCAAACCATTAAATGAGCTTGTTCGCGAGCTTTCGAGCTGAACATGGTATGACTCGAGTTCAGCTCGTTTAGTTAACGAGCTTGTTCGCGAGCCGGCTCGATTAAGACGAATCGAGTGTCGAACGAGTTTTTCTCGAATCAGACACCAAGCCGTTCATGAGCGGTTTGGTTCAGTAACAACCCTAGTCATATGTCTCTAGTTAGTATTTTATCATACTTGTTAGATGCCATGTCAAATAAGTTAATTGATGAGTTTGAAGTTTATCATATTAAATGTTTGAATTAATTGTTAATATCAATGATTATGAGGATATGAACGGAATACCCATTGATCAAACAATACTATGATATTATGTCGAAAATTAATTCACCACAATAATTTGAGATGTTATGAATGACCGAAATATAAATATAAATGTTAAGAGTGAATTGCAAGTTTAGTCACTTGATTTATTGAAATAATGTTTCGCGTTTGCCTCTCAAAATATTTTCTTTTGGTATTGGTCATCGACTTTAAACTTTTGTTTCATTATTAGTCACCGGCCATCCGATTCTGTTAGGTTTGTGCTAGGTGGCAGCGAATTATGACATTTAACCGTTAATTATCTGATGTGGCAATTAAAAAAATTAAATTTTTAATTATACACCACATGCCACCATCGCTCAATGAGTCAATTAATTTGAAAAAAAAACCCACTACAACCCTTGGATTGGCGGAAAGTATCATCTCCGTTCCCTACCGCCGATGTGGGTTAGCTTGACAAAAAAAACCACTACAACCCTAGGAATACTTATCATATTATTAGAGTTTATGTTAATGCTTTAGCGATTTGGCGTTGACAAATAAAAATCTTCTTTAGTACCCAACCGAACTCAAACATATTTTGTAAAAAAAATCTGAACACGATATTTTAGTTATGTTTTTTCTCTGGACCTGACTAGGAGGTACGTAATGGTATTTGCCATCGCTTGGTATAGTATCAAATCGAATCCACACGATTATGTGCTACAAATATATGTATTCTACACCCTCTCACTTTACTACCACATTCATCCATTTCTCAATAGATGCGGAATTGGGATTTTGGGAGTGTCTCGGTACACTCTTAAAGTTAGAAAAAAAATATATTGATGGACCCATAGTAATTAGTTTTGAGTTCTCAAAAAATAGTTTTTTTTTTTTCTACCATGGCTTCAATATAAAAATAATTCATATCGATCACACTATAAATAGTTTTCTGTACAATTATTAAGACTTGACTGAATAACAATTTATCCAATTTTTAATCCAAACACTATTGAGTTTGGTTACCTAGTTGTTCAAACGGAATGATTATCGTGGTAACCGTTTTACCGGTAGTATTTGGATTATTTGGTTTGGTTAGTAATTACCATTAATGTTTAACTAGAGATCCAGGGAGGCCAAGACACAAGGTTGCAGCAGTGGTAGAAATCTCATATGGTAGCTTATAATGTCTTGGGAAAGATATATAGATTAACTAGGACAGAGTAGATACTGGAAATAAATTGAACAAAAAACCAACAACTCCCTAAACATGGTTAATTATATGCCCCCTTAGCAAGTACTAGATGATTCTAAACAACCATTTTCTTCAGGTTTGAGAAACCCTTGCAAATCCATTAAGAAGATCATCACTAATCTCACAGCAGAACGAGATGCAAATTGACTACAAGAACAGTAAAAAAATCTACCACGGACTTAAATCCCAGGTCGATGTTGCTTCAAGGGAGCTCACACCGGCGATGGATGCCGCTGCAGCTGCTGGAAGGAAACACAGACGGAGCTTGCAGATCGTGCGTGGGGCACTCACAGCTCACGGATCGTAGTCAAGTTCGGCGGCCTGCTGCAGCTGCTGGAAATTCCTCGTTGTCGGAGTCCAACAAAGGATGTGCCTCGATCTTTGGAAGCTCTCTGATTTTTGTGAGGAGAAGAGCGGCCGTCTGATTTTCGAGAGGAGGAGAGGTTTTGGAGGTGCAAGCAGCTCGACTGAACAAAAGCACAAGGAAAAAAATCTTAAAAACTTAATGCAGCTACTGAGATTCGAACGGTGTAGCTAGGAAACAGGCCGTTTCCCGTGTCACCAATTTTCCCAAACAAGGATTTATCGTTTTCGGCCAGCTACCCATTTATTGCCAAACCGTTTACCCAATCAGAATGGCAAATGAAACATGTTTTTTTAATCATATATTTCCTGAATTTTGTTGGAGAATAGAAAACAGAAAATGAAATGAGAAGTGAACAGGGCATTAGTTACTCGTATCTTCTAAGACACTTTAAAAAAATTAAGATTTAATTTGTATTATTAGAATATTTTCATTTTAAAAATAATAGAATATATAATTTTAATTTCAATTTTATGAGGACACCACTAAATAAAATTTAAGGATCCGCTACTGTCTTTTAAGATTTACTAGAAGACTTTGAGCCGCGCTATGCAGCGGCTGAGAATGGATTGTGGGCTTTCTTCATAAGCCCGTGTGCGCCTGTGCATTTAGTTTCATATATTTTAATTTTATTATTTTACCCTTTTCTTCCTCAAGTGCTGGCTCAAGTGAAAAACATATGTGATACTGTAATTAACATAAAAGCTAAAAGAGGCAAAGAGCTGATTAATTATGGATGCATATATCCCCACTTTACTATAGGCCCAAGTAAAAAAGAGTGCGTCAAACTCTAAAGCCCGTTGATCCATTATCATTAGTTTTAGTTATTTTTTCTTTTTTCGTTGCCCGTCTTTCTCATTCACGATATAAAAAACCTAAAATCTGAATCCCTCACCAGTCAGGCAGTTCCCACTCCAGTCCCCTCCCCTCCCCCCACACCAAACCTTATCTTTCTCTTTCTCACGACCGCAACTCAACTTACAGTCGTTCAAGTTTCCATCCAAAATTAAAGATCCAAAAAGTTTCTTCCTCTTCCCCTCTCCTCTCTCTTCCTCCCTCCCTCGTCTGTCCTTGTCCTACCACTTCTTCTTTTGGTCCCACTTCCCAGACTCTCCTCCTACCTTCACCTATCTGTTTCTTTCTTTCCATCTTCATGTTCCCTTCAATCCCTCTCCTTGCTTTTCATCAAACCACATCCCCTCTTTACTACAATTTTG